AATCTCCCTATAGTTATCACTCAGTTTAAACGATGATCAATATTTTTACCACTTTTGTATTTTCTATCCCCAGAATATATGTCTGCAGTATTTTAAAGGAAGCCTGGAAATTATGCCATTGTACCTATAAATACTTCAGTATGCATCTCTAATGGCAGGATTCTTTTTAAAACATAATCATCATGCAAAATTAAAAATAAATTCTTAAAACCATCTAATACCATATTTGAATTTCAATACTTCTTTCAGGAATGTCATTTTACAGTTAATTTGTTCAAATCAGGAGCCAAACCATATCTATATATTGCATTTGTTTTTTTTTTTTTTTTTTTTTTTTTTTTGAGAGACAGCATCTTGCCCTGTCAGCCAGTCTGAAGTGCTATGGCACAACCACGGCTCATTGCAGACTTGACCTCCTGAACTCAAGCAATCCTCCCACCTCAGCCTTCCCAGTTGCTAGGACCACAGGTGCATGCCACCACACCTGGCTAATTTTTTCAGTTTTTGTGGAGATGGGGTCTCACTATGTTACCCAGGCTGTTCTTGAACTCCTAGATCAAGCAATTGTCCCACTTCGACCTCTCAAAGTATTGGGATTACAGGTGTGAGCCGCTGGGCCTGGCCCTTAAGTCTTTCAAATTCTCTTCATTTTCTTCTTATTTAATGCCATAGATTTGTTAGAGAAATCTCTTAGAGATTTTTGTCCTTCCTGATTTGCCTATTTGATTCCTGTGATATTATTTAATTTCTGTGTCCTCCGTGTTTCTTGTAATTTGGTTTTAGAGCTAGAAACTTTATTAGATTCAGGTTTAATTGTTTTCTTTAGTTACATCACAAGTGGTGCTGTATGTCCCGTTCCATCATAATAGGAGACATATAATATCTGGATGTCCCAAATTTAGTGAAGCTAAGATTGATCAGTGGGCTCAGATGGTGTCAGCCTGACCCCTTCATTGCAAAGTTCCTCATCAATCCTCCACCTAATGATTTTAGCATCCATTAATGATTGCTTTCTTAGATCATTGCATTAGAGATTCCATGATAGTGATGTTTGTATTTCTATTCCTTCTTTTGCATTTATTAGCTGGAATTCTCCCATAAGGAAGAAATTTCCTCTCCTTAAGTCTTTGATAATCTTGAAAAAATAATTTATGAAGAAAATACAAAATACAAAAAATACTTGATTTTTCTCCTTTATTAATATTCAGAGTAATAAGTTTGTAAACTGGAAACCTTCAAGTGGGCACTTTTGTTTAGAATTACTGTAAAGTTACAGATTTTATACATTCCATGTGTCATTGCAGTCATTCTTATTTTTGCTACTCAAATTGCCCAGTCTTCAACCAATGTGAGTCCCTTTCAGGTTAGCTTTCATATCCTTTTGACAGGACTCCAGTTGGCTTAAGATGAGCCTAGGACATCTTTCTTGATAACTTCCTTGCTTTCTGGCAAGAAAGATATCCCAGGCTCATTTGTCGAGTTCATACTCCAGACCTGGAATCTGGAATCCACCATTTCTCCACGGATGTTTAGCTCTTTCTTTTTAGTGGAAAATGGTGTTAAGAGACCAAAATCGGAGCAGTAGGGCTGCTCATTGCTATTGAGTTGTCATTGCTTCTAGGTCTTTTTGGTTGACAGAGCTTTTTTTAAACAAATAAAAGCCATAAGTTTTTATTTCCAAGTCAAATTTAAGATCACATAATTTTTACTTGATTTCTTTGATTTGATATTTACATCTATTTTCTCTCACGCTGAAAAGTTTGGTTTCCAATGGCATTAGCATAATTACTCACCAGTTTTAACCTAAGATATGCCTATAATAATGATGGGGTTCAGAATATGCTACCCCCAAGTATGGCACCTTGGTATTTGAGAAAACAGCAGAAGCAGGAAAGTCATTCTCATCTTCCCATCTTCCTCTCATCCCTTCTCCCTTAAAGCAGGTCATAAAATCTAACTGACTTCCCTCTAAAGTAGGTCATAAGACCTCAACTCCAGAGATAAGTTTCCTATACCCTGTAAAAAGGAATATCATTATCCCTGAAGACACGGAGATGCCAAGAATAATAAACAGGTCTTGCTAAGTTCTCCCCAGTTTCTTACCATTAGATCAGACCCTTTTGTCCTCCAATCACGTTTCTTCACAATTATCTACTTTGCTTCATCAAGCTTAGCATAAAAATACTGATTTCCCTGTTTGTTTGGGTCTTCATTTCTGAAGGCTCCTGTATTGTGTAAACTTGCATTAAATAAATTTGTGTGCTTTTCTCTTGTTAATCTGTCTATTGGTATATGGATGTCATCCATGAACCTAAAGATGGGTGAGAAATCTTTTTTCCTCTATAATAGATTTAAAATAATAGTAATAATATTGCTACTATTGGTAAGATTACTACTACACTTTTTTTATTTGTTATTTTTATTTTTTGGGATGGGGTCTCACTATGTTGCCCAGACTGGTCTCCAACTCCTGGGCTCAAGCAGTCCTCCCACCTTGGCCTCCCAGAATGTTGAGATTACAGTTGTGAGCCACCATGCCTGGCCCTGACTATACTTTATTTCCCTTCATTTCTTTGCCACCAAATATTGTTCTGCATTTTGCTTTTTTAACTTAACAATTATTTTGGTCATCACTCCATGTCATTATATATAAATCTCCTTCCTTTTAACAGCTGCGTATTACTCCATTGTGTAATTACTCCATTGTGGACATATATGAATTATTTTCAATGTTTATAACAGATTTTACATTATTTCTCATATTATCTGTTGAGTGCTGTGATAATCAACATATTCTAGAAATGTTATATTTGGCTAAATTTAATAAAGATAGAATGCAAAGATTGGAAAAAATGGCAACTGTTAACTAAACATAGTAGTTTGAATTTACACCACTTGAGAAGGGAAAAATAACTCCAAAAATGTGGTGGGTGGAGAAGCTAGCCTGAAACGATCAGTAACCTAAAATTTTTACTGCCAATTAAAAAGTGGCTACCATTTGTCTTAACACAAATTCCCTGAAAACAGAGCCTGAGGTAAAAGGGGTGGGGTTGTAGGGGCAGTTTGTGCAATCTTAGGGAAGTAGAAGTGAGGAGAAGGAGAGAGGAAATATTAGGATTATTAGGTTGGTGCAAGAGTAATTGCGGTTTTTGTCATTGAAAGTAAGGGCAAAACTGTAATTACTTTTGCATCAACCTTATAAATGGAAGTTTTTTTCCCTTTCTTTCTTTTTTTCTTTCTTTCACCTTTCATCTCTCTCTCTCTCTCTCTTTTTTTTGAGACAGGGTCTCACTCTTTTGCCCAGGATGAAATGCATGATGCAATCATAACTCACTGCAACCTCAAACTCCCAGGCTCAAGCGACACTCTCAAAATGGAGCATGTTTCTGAGCTGATCTCAACTCCACGACATCTCTGGTTTCCCAATGGTGGAACTGCACTCCATGGAACTTCCTGCAGTTCTGGTTCTATCACCTGGCCCTTGCAAGCCGTTGCTAGAGAAGCCCGAGCCTCTCTGGCTCTTGGTCTGTTTAGGCTGGTGGGCAAGCACAAGGGTCTCTCCTGGTCAGTCAGCTTCACGTGTTAGGGTTCCTTGTCCTATGACGGGAGGAGGTAGCAGCAACAATGAGTGTGCTTCAAGACCCCAGAAATGGCCTCTATTGCTATGATGGCAACCAGGCTGCTAAAGGAGGTGCAGCCAAGCCAATCTGGAGTGGTTCACAAACAGCCTAATGCACAATGCTAAATGAAATCGTCTAAGTCTTCTGTCCTTCAGAAATCTTTCAGAACAAAAGCTATTTCTGACACAGCAAGAAAATATCTTAAAAAGTCATCAGATATTTTTCCTTGGCTTTAAACAAGACCGTAAAGCCAGTCTGGTTGCACACACCTGTAGTTTCAGCTATCTGGGAGGCAGAGGTGGGAGGATTGCTTGAGCTCAGGAGTTCTGGCAGGTATGCAGTGCACACCTGGGAATAGCTCTTGCACTCCAGCCTGAGCAAGAAAGCAAGACCCTGTCTCTGGAAGAAAAAAACAAGTAGCTCATTCTAGTATCTAAACATAGCAATTTACACCTTTAATTAACCAGGCTGTAGGCCAGTGCTGTGGCTCACCTGTGTATTCCCAGCACTTGGGGAGGCAGGAGGATCACTTGAGCCCAGGAGTTGGAGACCAGCCTGGGCAACATAGTGAAACCTCTGTTTGTACAAATAATAAAAAAAGTATCCAGGCTTGGTGGTGTGCACCCCTAGTTCCAGCTATTTGGGAGACTGAAGTAGGAGGAATTCTTGAAAGCCAGGAGTTGAAGACAAGCCTGGGCAACATAGTGAGACCCTGTGTCTACAAAAAATAATTATCTGGTTGTCTTGGCACAGGCCTGCAGTCCTAGCTACTTGGAAGCCTGAGGTGGGAGGATCACTGAGCCCAGGAGGCTGAGGCTACAGTGAACGATGATCGCCCAGCTGGACTCCAGCCTGGGAGACAGAGGGAGACTCTGTTTCCAAAAACAAAAATGCAAGAACAGTCGTCATAGACTTGACCTGGGACATAACTTTTATGTGATGAAATTAACAATCTTTTAGGAAGAAATTAGCATTTCTGATAAAATGTATTATAATCACATTATTGTAAATTCAAATAGAATTAAATATTCTGAGAAACTAGCTTCTCAGTCTCTCAGTTGTCAGTCAAAAGTTTAATTTCTTTGGCTGGGTGCGGTGGCTCAGGCCTGTAATCCCAGCACTTTGGGAGGCAAAGTGGGTGGATCACGAGGTCAGGAGATCAAGACCATCCTGGCTAACATGGTGAAACCTCATCTCTACTAAAAATACAAAAAATTAGCCGGGCACGGTGCCAGGCGCCTGTAGTCCCAGCTACTCAGGAGGCTGAGGCAGGAGAATGGCGTGAACCCGGGAGGTGGAGGTTGCAGTGAGCTGAGATCGCGCCACTGCACTCCAGCCTGGGCGACAGAGCGAGACTCCATCTCAAAAAAAAAAAAAAAAGATAAAACAAGTTTAATGGTCTTTGAGCAAGTATTCTTCCTTTTCTTCTTTTTTTTTTTTCACAAAATATCTCTAGATTGAATCTTGGAATTGACTTAAGTCTCTTGTGGCAATTTTGAAATGAAAAAATACATAAATACATGCTCATAATTAAATTACCTGAACATTTTAAAAAACCATCATGAGGTTCAAATATCAAATATTCATAAATATTGTTGTGATGATAGACATGACTCTTATTTTTTCCCTTAATAATGATTGAATGTTTATATATCCTCCATTCTGTCTCACTCTATGATTAGTACATTATAGTGGCAATAATCTTAGGAATCTAACAGAGAAAAATGTTGCATTTGAAGACTACAGACGGCAAACCAATTTGAGCCAGGTTACTTGACATGTCGTGCTATTATTATAGTACTTTACATATAGTAAACATTAATTACATATATGTGTAAGGAAGCAAGAAAAGAAGAAAGTATTTCATTCAAACTCCTCTCTCTCCATCACCATTGGCTGATATCATCATTTGTATAGTTAAGAACAACACAGGCACTCACCACATAGTTTTTGAATAAATGAATGAATGGCAACCCTTCTAAGACTATTGGATACACTATTGTTTGAAGGCAAAGAGATAGAGTAGATATCTTCAACTTTTTTCCTGTCTTATGATTCTGTGGTTTCTATGACTACTAAAAGTTAGCTAGGTAGAAAATTTGTTTTAAAGTCTGAAAACCAAAATGCTTTCAGATAAAAGGCAGGGAGAAAAATAGTCTTCAACATGTCCACTTTAGCACCAGGAAAACCTAATATCAATATCACTATCAATGATATCATATAAACATCATTACATTGATGAGCAATGTCAATCCCTAAAAACTATGTATACTAATAGCACTAACTTGTGGCCAGAACAAGAACCTTAACTGTGCCAAATTTTATTCTATTCAATAGCAGCTGCCTCGTTTTCAGTTGTGCACATCTGAATGCAAGCAATCCCTGTCTGATGTGGAGTTTCTTGCACTCATAAGGAAAAACTGCTGAAGTTGTGAGGCTGCTCCAGGCAGAGTCATCATGTGAGTCATATGAAAGCTCCACACTGCTGACCTCTGGCAAAAAGGGAGAGAACAAGGATAGGAGAGGCAGTGGGGGAAAGGTTCAAGTGCGGGTTTTCTCCTTGAACCTAGAAGATTATGGGTCAAGAGCTGTGTGCAAAGACTGTACAGCCTGGATGCAGCTGCTATCGTTGTTCAGAGGGAGGCGAGGCACACAGCTGTCGGAGGAGTCAGCCTGAGACCATGGAGGCTGCGTTCAAGGTATTTGTATCCCAGGAGGAGAGCATCTTTCTCTATTGATAAACCAAGGAGTTCAGACACTCCCTTTTTGTAGCAGGGTCTGATTCTTCTGCGGTAGGTCTAAACCAATAAAATGAAAATTCTATTAAAGTCACAGAAAATTTATGGCTGTAGTTATCAAATTTGGAGAATTTCTTGTAAACCAAAAGGGAAAAATAATCCTTGGCTTTGGGTTGCACGAAACTCACTTGGCTTGAAGTAGTTCTCTCGAAATCTCTAAGGTCCTAAATTACAGAGCTGAGATTTAAAAGGCAAGCTGCAGTATTAGTTGATATGCTATGGATTAGAAACTTTAGTAATTAGTTCATGATTATTAGCAATGCAGTAGTAGATTATTCCCCCACAGCAATAAATTAAGTGAACAGGAAAAAAAAAAAAGCCAGAGTTAAACAGAAAAAAGTTGGAAAACATCCATCAAAGAGATTTAGGTTAACCTAAATGTTAAAGACATATTTTTAGGTGAAGAAAGAATGTAGTATTTCAGGAGTTGATACCATTATGGTCTTTTTCAGGGATCTTTCAAGAAAAGTGCCTTTTGGGGGTACAGGAAGCTTAGAAAACATGTGAAGAGTGAAAATGAGGCAAATAAAGAAAAAATTGTTTTACCAGGCACCGAATCTTTACTTTGCATACATTTTATTCCTGCTCTTTCTTTTTTCTCTAGCTAACAGACCTAAAAGAAGCATCATGTTCCATGACTTCATTTCACCCCAGGGGACGTCAGGATGTCCGTGCCCAGAAGTTCAAGAGTAAAAGGCCACGGAGTAACAGTGATTCTTTTCAGGAAGAGGATCTGAGGCAGAGTTTTCAGTGGGTGAGTGAGCAGCTGATGTTGATCAAGAAGAATTTAATGTGTGCTTGTCTAGGGAGGCCGGCCCTTATGTCCAGGGCAATTACTGAGCGAGCCTTCCCAAGTCTGCTCTGGAAATGCTGTCTAATTTCCCTGGAGAAAAAAGTCAACACTAAAAAAAAGTGCTCTTTCTCTCTTGCCTTTCACCCACTCCTTTTCCCCATTCCCCTAAAGCAGAGGAAGAGCCTCCCTTTTGGAGCAGCCTCATCTTACTTGAACTTGGAGAAGCTGGGTGAAGGCTCTTATGCTACAGTTTACAAGGGGATTAGCAGGTGAGTGACACATAGCTGGGATACACTTTAGAGATAAGGGTCCTGCCCCCTTAATTTCACATTATAAAGCCAGGTGAGACATCATAGAGGTTCATAGCACTCAGGACCTGGGCAAGATACCATGGCCGACAGGGAGAGAGACATGATGACTTAAACAGCCTTGAAAGAAAAACAAACCTGCCCTGCCCTAATTAAAATCAGCCCACTTAAATGTTTATCAGCCTTTCCCTTCTTGCATTCAATTCAGAGAATTCAAAGAAAATAGACATTCTCTACTACTGACCCAAAGAACAATTACCACTCTTCAGGCCGGTGGGAGGCACAGTTGGTAAAGCGTCTCTAACAGGTTTTTTATATCCCTCCCTAAATCACAATGACAGAGGTTTGTAATGGCAACCTGGAGTTTGCTGCTTCATTCCTCCACCTGGCCTTTATAGAAGAAATTGGAGTTGGTTTCTGCAAATTATGGTACATGCAAAAGATGATGAATCCTAGATTTTTTATACTTGCAAAATATACAAAATGTCTGGAGAATAAAAATACTGCTTATCCAAAAGCTAAGTACTAATTTTGGTAAACAACAAACTTTGTTAAATATATATAAAAGATCCATGAATTCCCTTGTCTTTTAGTCAAGGTGGGAAAGTTGGAAGGTCGTTTTTTCTTTATGTTACTCCAATAGATAAAAATAATGGCTCAATAGTGGTTAAATATTAATTTTAAAAATATAGCTGATCCAAGTGCAGTGGTATTTACTACTTGATCACAACCAGCTACAGATTTCTTTGTTCCTTCTCCACTCCCACTGCTTCATTTAACTGGCCAAAAACAAAAAAAAGAAAAAAGAAAAATTGTATATAACTACTGCGAGACTAAATATTCATTATTTATCTTAGTATTTATGCTCTTATTATTATTTTTACCTGTTAAAACAAGATTGTAGGGGACATACAATTTTATTTATTTTATTATTTATCTATTTATTTATTTTGAAATGGAATCTCACTCTGTCACTCAGGGAGTGCAGTGGCGCGATCTCAGATCACTGCAACCTCCACCTCCTGGGTTCAAGCGATTCTCCTGCCCTGGCCCTTTATACTTTCTTAATCTGTTTTAGTCATGGTGTATATTAACTTTTTTAAATGCTGAGAACATCTGCAATAAAAGACCACATTTGATTTTATTCTAAGGTTCCTCATATCAGTTTGGCCATGGTAACTGTTTCAAGATGGTTCAGATCTGGGGCACCCTGGAACATACTTGGATACATGGGTACCATGAACACTTCTGATCTTCCCTTCTGAGTTCTGACTTTGTTCCACACAAACAGACCTTTCTAGCCCAAAGTTTACACAGAATTCACTCATCTTTTCTCCTAGTTACTGTATGTTTTCTTTTTCATTTAACTCTTTCATCTATTGGGAATTTATATTGTATATTCACAATCATCCCAGCTCCATTTACTAGATTTTCTTTTCTCTGATGGTTTGAAATGCTGCCGTGATTACATATTAGATCTCATGACTACTTGAAATTGTTTCTGTTCTAATCTTTTAAAAAATCATGTTTCCTTAATCTATCTTTTCTTATATTTGTGCTGCCTTTTTTTTTTTGAGATGGAGTCTCACTTTGTTGCCCAGGCTGGAGTGCAGTGGCGCCGTCTCGGCTCACTGCAAGCTCCACTGCAAGCTCTGCCTCACGGGTTCACGCCATTCTCCTGACTCAGCCTCCCTAGTAGCTGGGACTAGGGACTACAGGTGCCCGCCACCACGCCCGGCTAATTTTTTGTAGTTTTTTAGTAGAGGCGGGGTTTTACCGTGTTAGCCAGGATGGTCTTGATCTCCTGACCTCGTGATCCGCCCACCTCAGCCTCCCAAAGTGCTGGGATTACAGGCATAAGTCACCGCACCCAGCCTTGATTTTAATTATTGTTGCTTTAGACTATTTTTAGAATATATCAAAACTCTAAATTAGAGAATTATTGACATCTTTGCTCTATTAGATTTTCTAATACAAATATCCTGTAAATATCTAATACAAAACAGTCCCTGGAATGGTCATTTACAAGACCCTATACAATCCCTACCCTCCATTCCCCAGCACACACTCAGCTCCTCTCTGTCCTCATCTCTCCTTCGCCTCTCCTGCTCCAATGCCAGGACTGCTCCTGCCTCAGTCAAGGACTTTTAACTTGCTGCTCCCTCTGCCTGGAGCTGCCTTCCACTGTTCATGCACACAGCTGACTCCTCCCCTCCGTCAGATTCCCGGTTCAACTGTTACCTTATTTATAAAACTGTAGTCCCAGCTACTCAGGAGGCTGAGGCAGGAGAAACACTTGAACTTTGCAGGCGGAGGTTGCAGTGAGCTGAGATCGGCACCACTGCAAACGAACCTGGGCGAGAGTGACACTCTGTCTCAAAAAAAAAAAAAAAAAAAGGTATAAAGCATTTTCTCTTATAAACATACTTGCCAAAAAACTTTTTGCAAGGTTTAGGGGAGAATTTCATGGAACCATGTTCTGAGGAAAATACATCATAAAACTTTTGAACAAAATTTAAAAGACATGATAAGGCAAACAAAAGAAACTGGGGAAAAGTTTGTGCAAAATAGTTCAATAAAAAGGTGGGCAAATCAGCAAATCACAAGAAAAACAGAAAAGATCCATAAATGTATGAAAAGTCAGTTTCACATATGGTTAAAGAAATGTAAATTGAAATGTGGTAAACTTTTTTACCTTTCAAATAGGCCAAAAAAATGAAGATGAAAGCAAAAAGCAAACCCACATGATAGGGCTATCTCAGAGGGACACAGGAGCCAACTGAAAGAGCTTCCAAAGGACAAAGCTGCAAAAATTTGAGCAACCAAAAAAAGTGGTGTTAAATTATAACCCAAAGTATAAAATAAATATCTATGAGTTCATACTGATATAAATAAATTATTCAATACATTAACAAATGGGAGAGAAGAAACAAATCTTTCATGCCAAATAAATACAAATAATTTATGTAGATAATATACCTTCAAAGAGGTACAGCAAAACTCTCCACTCCTTAAGTGTGGGTCATTCATAGTGGCATTTCTCTAAAAGTACAGTATGAAAAAGGGAGAGAAAGAGTAACTTTATAGTAGAGAAACCTGACTAACACTGTCTCAGACAGGTGATTAAGGTCAACATCAAAAGTCATAAATCATGATGATGGTATGCACTCTTTTTTTTTTCAGATGGAATCTTGCTCTGTTGCCTAGACTGGAGTGTAGTGGTGTGATCTCAGCTCACTGCAACCTCCACCTCCCAGGTTCAAGTGATTCTCCTCTCTCAGCCTCCTGAGTAGCTGGGATTACAGGCGCATGCCACCACACCCGGCTAGTTTTTTGTATTTTAGTAGAGACGGGGTTTCACCATGTTGCCCAGGCTGGTCTTAAACTCCTGAGCTCAGGCGATCCACCCACCTCAGCCCCCCAAAGTGTTAGGATTACAGGCGTGAGCCACCACGCCTGGCTGATGGTATGCACTCTTAATATGATGTGATAAAAATGGTACTTTACCTCCCCCAAACCCATAACCCAGTCTAATCATAAGAGAAATATCAGAAAAGTTCCAAGAGATGGGTATCCTACCCAATACTTAACTAGTACTCCTCAAAACTCTCAAGGTCATCAGAAACAAAGAAAGTCTGGGAAACTGTCACAGTCAAGAGGAGCCTAAGGAGACAGGACAGCTAAATGTAATCCTGAATGAGATCCTGGACCAAAAACAAAAAAGACATTAGGTAAAAACTAAAGAAATCCTAATAAACTATGGACTTTAGTTAGTAATAATGTGCCAATATTTGTTCATTAATTATAACAAACATATCATATTAATGTAAGATATTAACAATAGAGGAAACTAGATGGGAGATATGTGGGAACTTTCTGTACTGCATTCTCAATTTTTCTATAAATCTAAGACTGTTCTAAAAAGTGAAGTCCAAAAGCCCCCAAAACAAAACCTGCCCCATGTTGGTGAGGGAGCGGGAGAATGGCCATTCTCATGACCAGTTAGTGTACCATTACTCCGTGGGACAGTTTGGGAACACGAGTGCAAATCAATGAAAACACGTGCATTGCGTACCCTTTGAATCAGCAATTCTGCCACCACTTTAAGGAAATAACTGGGGTTTTCTGAAAAGATTTGTCAACAAGTATGATCATCACAGTATTTTTGTAATAGCCCAAAGCTAGAAACAACGAAAAGGCTTTTGAAATTGGCTAAATACAGTATAGCATATTTATATGATTAAATGTTAAATCATTATTAAATATTGGATCATACAAGAATGAACTATAAGAGAAAAGTTACATGGAGGAAAAAAGGTTACTAACAATATGATTTTAATCCCACTGTATTAAAAACAATGGATTTATACCTGCATTAAAATCTTCTCTATTCTAGGCACTTAGCTGATAAATGAATAAAATGACGAATGAAGGGACAGTAGGAGGAAATGAAGAGAGAGAGAGATAGTGGTGTGACCTGGGAAGATCAGGTAGCACCTAGAAGCCCACTGCAAGAATTTGGCTTTTATTCTGAGTAATGCATGGAGATATGGTGGTTTTTGAACAGAAAAGTGACTTGTCCTGATGGTCATTTTAAAAGCATGCCTCCAACTACTCTGCTGAGAATAAATAGTGGGAGTGCAAGTATCTCAGCAGGGAAACTGTCAGAAGACCACTACAAGGCTGGGCATGGTGACTCGTGCCTGTAATCCCAGCTCTTTGGGAGCCTGAGGTGGGCGGATCACCTGAGGTCAGGAGTTTGAGACCAGCCTGGCCAACATGGCGAAACCCCATCTCTGCTAAAAATACAAAAATTAGCCAGGCATGGTGGGGGGTCCCCTGTAATCCCAGCTACTTGGGAGGCTGAGGCAGGAGAATTGCTTGAACCCGGGAGGTGGAGGTTGCAGTGAGCCGAGATCGTGCCACTGCACTTCAGCCTGGGCAACAGAGCAAGACTCTGTCTCAAAAACAAACAAACAAACAAACAAAAAACAAAACACTACAATAAGTCAGATGAAAAATAATAAGCTCCAAATTTTCTATAATGGACATATATGTATCACTTTAGTAAAGAGGGAAAATGCTTTGGAATATATATGTTATTATGTATTGATATATGCTAAACTTTTTATTTTGAGAAAATTATAGATTTATATGCTACAATATGTTTTGAAGTGAAACTGCTTTTGTTTGATCTTTGGTATAAATTGCTGCTTAGAACCACCTCAATAAGTGTGTGCCCCTCAATCCCTCTTTTCTAGAATAAATGGACAACTAGTGGCTTTAAAAGTCATCAGCATGAATGCAGAAGAAGGAGTCCCATTTACAGCTATCCGAGAAGGTAAGAACAGCAGAAATGGACCCAACAGATCTGTTTTGACTCCTTGATTTGGTAAAAAATTTATTGCATTGATCCATTCAGCATCTAGTTTTGACTCTTCTGGAATACTATAATTACATTTTTATTTTTCATACAAGTTTTTCAAGAGCATTTACACTGCTATTTTATTACTTAATTTTGAGGAAATTGAGATTTAAAACTACTATATCACTTGACCGAAACTATGAATTCACTGAGCAATTACTAATACTTTCCATGTGTTTGGCCTCATGCTAGGTGCTAAGGCTATACCTATATAACCTCAGAAAATTCCTATAAAAGAGAAAATATATAATCACACAAATTCTTACTGGGAAATTTGCCTGAACATAACATGTTGTTAGCTAGCACCTGGAGATTTTCCAGAAGGTATGCATTTTTAGTGTTCTGCCTGTATTTTGTCTGTGCCCTGGGCAGTATAGCAAATTGGTGAGGAACCTGGTGTCAAATGGACTTGGGTTTGAAGCATAGGTCCACCAATCACTAGTGGTATGATGTTGGGTAGATTACTTTAACTATTTATGACTCAGTTTATTGCAGAAAGAGGATAATAATAGTACCTATTTCATGGAGTTGTTACGAGGATTCAACAAGAATATGTATATAAAGCATTTATCACAGAGTCCATTTTTCAGAGTTCAACAAATGTTGACCATTATTATTCCATTCTTCTTTTCCTGGGTAATGTCTTATTTACCATCAAGATAAATAATACTTTATAATATAAAATATAAAGCCAACATAGTGAAATGAATCATTAAAAATATAATTTATCAACCTTTATTGCATGAGCCATTTGAAATAAGATGATGATAGGATTGCTGTGCATTTCAGCAAAATCCCAGAGAAATGGCACTTCCCTGGCCTTATTTTCTCCCACTTTTAACTACTTATTTTCTGTTCTTTACTAAGCACATGCTATATGCAGATTATGCTGCTGGATGCTGTGAAGGATGAGAAGAGAAACCCATATCTTTGTTCTGTCATTTGTAGTCTTAACGCAGCACATGATTCAAGTCACAAGTGTATGAAAGACATAAACTAAGATTTTAGAGAACAAGTTAGTCTCAGTGTGACTGATGGAGTCAGTAGATTCTGAAATGAGCTTGTAAGGATGGGTTATGCAAACAGGCATGGAAAAAGCAATTTGGAAAATGAGTTTATAACCGAATTTGATATCCTTTTCAAAAGTCTTTCAGAGCCCCTGGGAAATACATCATTTTGAATTTAATTGGAGGGCCAAATGGGCTATTGGTTTAGCCAGAGATTCATCCTGGTAGGATCAGGTGCATTCTGGGAGAAGGCATGGTTTTAAATGTTTAATGTAATGGAAACTGCATTAACTAATGTACTTATTAATGGTCTCCATGAAAGGATGATCAGATTTGGAAAGAGATGTATGGGTAGGTTAAAGAGTATTTGTGAACGTAATAGAAATTCCCAGGTCACCTGCATAAGAGGAAGGTCTCCTTTGTGAGCTTGAGTTTGTCAATTGCTTAAGATTGGCTTTGCTTAGATATTGCCCACAGCCAAGTTTTTCAGGTTGACATTTAACTGTAACAGTGAAACCTTTTGCCAGGTTTGCTAACAGATGGTTCTCAGCATGGTTCAGAAAAGCTGGATCCGTTTTGTTCTGTATGCTAAATGTTTCTTTCATTGCATATTTACGGAGGAATTGCCTCTCCATCACAGGTGTTTACAATTACATTTAGTAGTCAACTGTGGACTTCCTTGGTTTGTTTTATGGACTTACCTTACCGAATGCTTTGCTTGTGTAATATTAAAAACCACAAGAGGATTTCTGACACATTGGAGGTTGTTAGGAATCCAATTTCCAACAATGAATGTTTCTTTTTACACCACTATAAAAGCTTGGAGCCCTTGTTAAAAGAGCCCTCTCCCCTCAAGAAGATATGAGGCTTCATTTGGAAACTTTGGCACTGTCCCATTTTTCCTGTAAGAACTTTAAGGATGTGAGACCAGAGAGACAGGAGGTTAAATGAGAAGGGCTGGAAGGCAAAATAAGAACAGCTGGAGTTCATTAGCTAAAATCCAGGGTCACTAGCTAAAAAGGCAACCGAAAGGCACGTGCAGGAAAACTGAACCAGTAATGCAGCCTTCTTTAAACAGCCTTGAAGCAGGAATTGCTTTTCCTGAACAATTTGGCTGCCCTGATGCTATAGCAGCCAAAGATTTATTAAGTATGATTTTACTACATATATGGTCTCTTTCTATACAGGTAGAATACATGTGGCAATTTACTAGTCTGGTCATTTGGAGTACTATTTTCATTTGACCTTAACATGTGATATTATGAAACTAGCAAAAGTATGAACAGCACTAAGGGATATATATATATATATATATATATTTTTTTTTTTTTTTTAGATGAAGTTTTGCTCTTGTTGCCCAGGCTGGAGTGCAGTGGCACGATCTCGGCTCACTGCAACCTCTGCCTTCGGGATTCAAGCAATTCTCCTGCCTCAGCCTCCCGAGTAGCTGGGATCACAGGCATGCACCACCGCACCCGGCTAATTTTGTATTTTTAGTAGAAACGGGGTTTCACCATGTTGGCCAGGCTGGTCTTGCGCTCCTGACCTCAGGTGATCCACCTGTCTCAGCCTCCCAAGGGAAATATATCTTAATACATGTGTCAGGTGCTTTTCATACTTATTTCAATCCTCTTAATAACCCTTAGAGGTAGATATTATTAATATTATTCCACTATATGGCAGTGATTCAAACCAAATCTCTCTGATTCAAAAATTTGTATGCTTTCTATACACCCACTCTAGAAATATTCATTTAGCACCTACTATGACCAGGCACTCTGCTGAACTGCTAGATACGCAGCAATACACAAAATAGATGTGTTCCCTACCACTCTCATTCCTTTGCTAATTAAGAAAAGCAGAGGCCTTCATAGTACCTTAGAAATCTCTCATAATTGACTCTAGAATTGTATTTTAAGTGTTTATTTTTACAACTAGGAGAAAATACTTTCATTTGAATAGGTTAATGTGTTATGTTTTTACATAGTATAACATTTCTTAGTTTTATGAACTTTATAGCAATATCTTAATAATGTGCATTGTTTTAAATATTTTTGTTCAAGTGGTCAACTTTTGGTTTAAACTGAGGACTTTCAGCCTGCTAATAGCATTTTTCTTAGGAAGGAGTCGTATAACTAATCTTTTTTGAGGACCAGGCACATGACATAATCTCCCTTTCCCCCTACATAATATATTTTTTAAAAACCTTTATACTAACCCTAGGAAGTAAAATGTGCTATTTTTGTTTTAGAGAAAAGAAATTCCAGCCTCAGAGAGGTTAGGTAACTTGTCTGAGGTCACAGAGATAGTAATCAGTGTTGTTAGAATCCGTATCTATTCTATTTAAAATCCTTTCTACTTTATTATGATGAATTTGGAAATGCTTAACTAAAGTATTTGTTTAGCAACAGTAAATATAAAAATAGAAATCTGTTTTTCATGATACATTTTGTATAAACATTAAGGAAAATGCAGAAGAAGTATTTTTTTAATCTTTAATTTTAGATTCAAGGGGTGCATGTCCAGGTTTATTGCATGAGTATATTGCATGATGCTGAGGTATCCTGTCACCCAAATAGTGAATATAGTACCTGATAGGTCATTTTTCAACCTGTGTCCCCCTCCCTTCCTCTCCCCTTTTGGAGTCCCTGGTGCAGTGTCTATTATTCTCATCTTATGTCTGGGTGTACCCAATACCCCCACTTATTAGCTTCCACTTGTAAGTGAGAACATGTGGAATTTGGTTTTCTGTTCCTGCGTTAATTCACTTAGGATAATGGCCTCCATCTGCATCCATGTTGCTGCTAAGGACACGATTTTGTTCTTTTTGTGTGTGTGTGACTGCATAGTATTTTATGATGCCAGTGTACCGATTTTCTTTATCCAATCCACCATTGCTGGGCACCTAGGTTGAGTCCATGTCTTTGCTATTATGAAGAGTGCTGTGACGAACATACAAGTCTAGGTGTCTTTTTGACAGAACAATTTATTTTCTTTTGGGTATATACCCAGGAATGGAATTGCTGGGTCAAATGGTAATTCTGTTTTTGGTTTTTTTGAGGCAGGAGGTGGGACTCGACTCCAGAGGTGGGGCTTGAACACTGAACCAAATTTAGGACTAGCCGAAACAGGGCCTGGGTGGAGACAGCTTTCCAGAAGACACACCTACCAGTGTGCCATGTCAGTTTACCATTGCCATTGCAACACCTGAAAGTTACCACCCTTTCCCATGGCAACAACCTGACAACCTGGAATTACCACTCTTTTCCTAAAACTTTCTGCATAAACTGCCCCTCAATTTGCATATAATTAAAATTGGGTATAAATGTAACTGTAGAGCTACCTCTGAGCTGCTATTCTGGGCACACTGCCTATACAGTAGCCTTGCTCTGCAAGGAGCAGTACACCCACTGCTGCTGAACACTGCTGCTTCAATAAAAGCTGCTGTCTAACACTGCAGGCTCACCCTTGAATTCTTTCCTGGGTGAAGCTAAGAACCCTCCCAGGCTAAGCCCCAGTTTTGGGGCTCGCCTGCCCTGCCTCACTCTGAGAAATCTCTAAACTGTTTTCCACAGTAGCTGAACTAATTAACATTCCCACCCACAGTGTGTAAGCATTCCCTTTTCTTCTCAAGTTTACCAACATCCATTAATTTTTTACTTTTAAATAATAGCCTTTTTGACTGGTGTGAGATGGTATCTCATTGAGGTTTTGATTTGCATTTCTCTGATGATTTGTAATGTTGAGCAATTTTTTCATATGTTTGTTGGCCACTTGTGTGTCCAGAAGAAATATTTTAAATAAAATAACATATCATGTTGTATATTCATCAATTCTGATTCTATCATTGATTCTACAGTGCCGGTAATTGCAGTGTTTAAATTAGAAACAGCTCAGCTAAGAATCTTT